TTGTGTTATTGTAGTTACATTTTGCTACCGTTAGGACAACTAATCTTTTGGACATAATGTGAGGAATTATAATAATACCACTCGTGGCAATAGATTTCAGTTTACTTGCTGGCAGCTGAAGAGAGTGATGATCCAGCTCATGGTTACTGCACCTTTCCAATGAAATTTATTCGAGACATATTCTCTGGTTGCTGGATGTTGGACTTTCAGAAATGGTTTCTCTCAAATGAATTGAATTATGTCATGGAATGGAACTAAACTAGCTATGTTGAGCCAACCGAGAACAAGGTCTCATCAGTTATCAGTCCCCAGTAAATTTCTTGTCCATCTCAATTTTCCTTGAGAAGTGATATGTACACAGCAGTAATAATGGCACATTCCACTGGCAAAACATCCCTCTCGTGTGATTCTATTCTGGATTAGTGCTAGTCTTGGCATGAAAAGAGATTACTATGGATGTACTTACCTGAAGATCTGAGATGTGACTGGAGTTTCTCATATTCATGTGCTGAGGAGAATCTGTCTGGATTACAGTTTTCTGCTGCGTGCCTAATTTGTTCATTTAGCTCGTGGGGCTCGTGCAAAGACACGAACCGTACTAAATCAGATACACTGAAGAAAATATCCAGAACTTTGGTAATTTGCTCTTTTGGGTCCACCAAACCTGGCGTTTTAGATAAACGGTTGTATTTTGTGGTAAGAAAGAGCCCCCTTTGATCATCGAAATGGGGGAGGGTGCTGCGGCATCATCATAATCGTCGACAAATGTTAAAGTAATGAATGTCACATGGGACGGAGATTGGATTCTTTCATCGATGTCTCAAACTTTTTGACCGAGTGCATAGGATCGAGACCTTTAGGATACCCCACCTCCGGACAGCCGCATGTGCAGCATGTCATGCTCTCGCTCTGTCACTCAGCACATCCTTCGTCTGTTCTCAAAACCTTGGACACTACACAACAAACACCGAATGGTTTAGATATATTGTAAGTCCCGACCCTTGGTATCTTGGTGGGGCCAAGATAAGGGTCCAGTCAATTTCGGACGCACGAGTCATGCCGGTGTAAGGTAATTAAGCTATAGTCCAAATATTTTGTAGCGAACGTAAAACTTTAAGATAATGTTTAGAGGGGTCGATGGCATTAGTTACCCTTTCTCACCTTTTAATTGATATTACAAAACCATTGCTAGCACGATTCTCAAATTATTTAATAGGTGAAAGGCTCTCCAACACAAATCTTGAAAACGATGAAAGGGCTATTGTATGTCTTTTTTTCCGATCAAAATTAGAAAAAGAAAATAAAGGAAAGGCAATAAGTTTTCCCCTATCTGCTCAAGCAAAAACTGCACCAGCTCCTGAGAGAAGCCAGCCACCATTGTCATCCCGACTGACCAATTTCATTATATCCTAACTGCATATATTCAAAAATCCTTTCTCTGCACTGACAGACGGTTGAAAAAAATTTCCACGAGTTACCAGACGGAAAAAAAACGAAAAAAGCAGATGCAGTTGTAGATACACGAGACGAAATCGTGTCTGGTGTTGGTAGTCACAGAAAAGCATTACCATTCCCAAACATCAATGTCTCAAAATATAAATAAACCAGATAGAGCCAAGCTCTGTGGAAATGGATAAGGAGTGCGTGGAAGAGGGACCTAAAAGAACGTGTTTCATCATAGTAAAATTAGCCATCTTCCATGTGCTGGAGCAACCATTGGTGAAGGCTTGTCTTTTTACAGAAAGAACATATTGGTGCCTTCCCTAGTGCCCAATGACTAACTTATGCATTTATGAGATGAAAACGCTGTGACAGAAAGAGCCGGTCTACTGCTAATGCACTGATTAGTGAGAGTGGTCTCCTCCCCGTGTTGGGTTAGGCCCACGTAATCTTCAACACCAAGATTTGGTATCAGACATAAATCTCTAGCAAGAAATTGGGACGTGGACTTGGGACTTCAATTGCCCAACCAACATGCTAGGTACAACTGGGTAGGTTGTATAAGTGAAGTTCCTCAATTATATCCATGTCTTGTTATGTGCAGTAGTACTAGCCGCTGCATGGGAGGTGTAAATTTGTAGCAATTCCATATTATTTATAAATTGAAGACTCTTAAATTTTTCTTTTCATTCAGTCTTCTTGGATTACGATTTCGTCAACAAAAACTTGACCTGTCTAATCGAAATTTCTGAGCCGGACACTAATTATGTCGGCTCAACTCCACGAAACTTTCGCTACCGGATAAATTCGGCAAAGGATAATGAGTTGCATTGGGACTAAGGAACACATGGTTAAGCTTTAACGTTGCCGTAGTGCAACAAGCGAGCATGCTAAGACCACACTGCCATTAAGCAAGCAGGAAACTCTCTGTTTCAATCGTGAGTTCCAGCTTGTAAAGTTGTAAACACCGTTTTCCATAAGTTCGTAGAAACTCCTTCCAATAATTACTTCCGCGTTTGGTACTGCATAAGTCAATTGAAAAATTATTATAAGAATGCCATCAACATGAATTAAGGAGAAAAACTCGGCCCTGAAAGTCTCAGACAAACAGACAACCCACGCTGCAACAGAAAAATGCTACAGTCACCGAGTGACCAAGCAAGGGTTTTGCTTCCTCAACGTGATTTCTGCTAAGTGCAAACCCTTCTCTCTCTCTCTCTCTCTCTCTCTCTCTCTCTCTCTCCTCTATAAAACCTAGTCACCCCTGAACATCTCTCCTCCATACTAAGCTCATCGCTTCTCTCTTTCCTCTGAGAAATGGCTGGGACGAGCTCAGCTGTGCTTGCATTCTTGCTGCTGATAGCTGCTTCTGCTTTTGCAGCTCCATCTCCACCTTTGGAAGGTAGTGTGGATAATGTGCCTCATTTGGCTCATAGCTAGCTAAATGCATTAACCTTTTCACGCTCATCTCAGCTGGGTTACTTCCATTTCTCTTGATCTGTTATCTGCTCCTATAAAGTTTGGATCTTGACATCTTCCTCACTTCATTTCTTGGTTTGTCACTCGTTAATCTTAACAGGGCTCTTACCAAATGGCAACTTTGAAGACCCTCCAAAACGCACTAACCTCAAGAAGACCGCAATCCAGGGCAAGTATGGCTTGCCCAAGTGGGAAATCAACGGCCTCGTCGAGTACATCGCCGGTGGTCCCCAGCCGGGCGGTATGTTCTTCGCCGTTGCACACGGTGTCCACGCCGTCAGGCTCGGCAACGAGGCCTTCATCTCACAGTCGATACCGGTCAAGCCGGGTTCTCTGTACGCGCTCACGTTCGGAGCATCAAGAACCTGCGCACAGGAGGAGGTGCTGAGAGTGTCCGTGCATCCACAGACAGGGGATCTTCCTCTGCAGACGCTCTACAGCAGCAATGGTGGGGACACGTATGCTTGGGGGTTTCGGGCTGCTTCGAATGTGGCTAAGGTGGCGTTTCACAATCCTGGAGTTCAGGAGGACCCTGCTTGTGGCCCACTCTTGGATGCTGTGGCCATCAAGGAGCTCTTCCCTCCTATGCCAACAAGAGGTAAGAGAAAGAACAGAGGAAAAATCACATTTTGATGTGCTGAAAGTTCCCATTTTTTGGCTTAACACCTCAGGTACTCGTGTCTGCGTGTTTATCAGAGAGAGTTCACTTCATTCTTTGATGGTTCTTGTCCATTTTTTATGGTTCTTGTTCTATTTCATGTATGGATTGCTTTGATTTGTTTTGAACTGATATTCTTACAATATCATATTCTGAGTAGTTCTTTTTTTTTTTTTTCTCAGTAGTTCACTAGGCTGCAAATACGGTAAATGCCCTATTTTTCTACTTCCTCTGTTCACGTTTCTCTGATATGCAAGATTCTTGTTCTTTCACTCCAAGAAACAACTTCTTCTGAGGTTTTTCCTGGATTTGAAATTTTTTCTTCATGAGATGTTTGGAATAGGGGATTGAGTACGGCATTTTTTTCTTTCACGGACTGACAGCTGTTTGTGATGCATTCAAACTGAAAACGTACTTTAAGCTCTTCCTCTCTAGGCAAGACAGACAAACTCTTTGTTTGTGAAGCAGAAGTTTCATCATCTACATTACATGGCCATATAATTGGCTCCCTGTCAAAGTTCAAGTCCAAGTTCCACCACTCCTGACCTTTGAGAATGTGCAGATAACTTGGTGAAGAACCCCGGATTTGAGGAGGGTCCCCACCGCCTAATCAATTCATCCAACGGTGTACTCCTCCCCCCAAGACAGGAGGATTTCACATCCCCCCTTCCGGGTTGGATAATTGAATCGCTCAAGGCAGTGAAGTTCATAGACAAGAAGCACTTCAACGTCCCCTTCGGACTCGCAGCAGTTGAGCTAGTTGCAGGAAGAGAAAGTGCAATTGCCCAAATCATAAGAACCGTCCCGAGTAAATGCTACAATCTCACCTTCACCGTTGGAGATGCAAGGAACGGCTGCCATGGGTCGATGATGGTGGAAACTTTTGCTGCTAAAGACACCCTCAAAGTCCCTTTTCAATCGCAAGGGAAGGGGAGGTTCAAAACTGTTAGTTTCAGGTTCAAAGCACTTTCAGCAAGGACAAGGCTCACTTTCTTTAGTTCATTCTACCACACCAGGATTGACGACTTTGGATCTCTGTGCGGCCCTGTGCTGGATGAAGTTAGGGTTGTCCCTCTGTCTAGATGTTAGGACAGAAAATCCATTGATCTTCTGAAGAACATCATGGAGACTTCACAAGGAGTTCTAATAGGCGTGTCTTGTATGTTGACAATTGATAGAGGCAGATTTTCTGCTTGAGCGCTTGCTTCTTGTTATGAGTCATGTGAGCACAACTGCTATTTCCTAGTAGAACATACAAGTAACGGGGTGGTAAGAAACTCCGATAGCATCTACAATCTATCATATTGAATAAGATGGGAATGTTCTTTAGAATGACACCTGGTGTATCCGTGGGAGAAACGGTCTTCCAAACAAAAAGGAGAAGACTAACTATTTACCTACGCAGCAAGTAGTTTCAGTCATCTTTGACAAAAACTGGCAAATGATAGTTTATATTTGGTACACGAGTGATCAAGTTCGGAGCGTTTCAAGTATTCACTACAGCAGGACGAAGAATCTTTTGCAACTTTTGACTACCATATAGGCAGTCCGTATTACTTTCTAAATGTCATCAGGACATACGACAGAATCTAATGATGCTACAAAAATGACAACGAATTGCCACTGGATGCTTGAGCCATCATCTTTCTTGATGCCACATGGAGATAAACTGCCTGGGCACTCGATGGCTCCGGATTTTATTGCAGAATCGTACGGCAGTGTCACCATTTTCCAAAAATAAAATGAGAAAAACGATTTCAGTCATTCACGTACTGCTGTTTATTTGCGGCTATCATCTAATACTCCGACAAGGCATTTCTCCAGGAGGAATTCGTCATTCACCCAGGCATGGTATTTGTCTGAATGAGAGCTAAGGATCGCAGCCACCGTATGCAACTTTATAAGATTTTAACAACTAAATCCATGAAAGATGTGCAGCTTGCAAAATAGACATATCAAACTATGGTTCGATCCCAAAACATTGTTTGCAGTATTAAAACACATCATACTAGCTTGGGTTTTCTGAAAGAAGTTTCTTCTTTCGCCTTTCCCCCCTCTTGTAGAAAACTTAGTGCAAGGACATACAGCACAATAAAATGCAAATTTCATGTTATTTGACCAGATTAAAATATGTGAGACTCTATGCATTTAGCAGTTTCTTTCCCTGTCATAACTATATACCTTCCTACTTCCCACTTACTAGAAGTTTGAATAACTAGCTACAATCAAGACCAGCTTCCAACCTGACAGCATCTTTATTCTGTAAAACATGAACAAACACTATTTGACTGAAAAACACGGGCAAACTCCGCATGAAGGTAAAGTCATACAAAGTAGAGAGCAAGAGTTGGGCTAGTTGGTAGAAGTAGAAGCAAATTAACCCCACGCATAAGGCCTGTGCTCGAGTCTTACCATTCCTCCCCACCTTATGCAAGGAAAGTGATTCATAAAATATTTTCCAACAAAGGATACTAAATAAGGACGTACAGTCTTTTCCCACAGCCTTCATCAACATATCAACACCTGCATAACATATTCGACGAGCGGCATAAGTCAGTCAACTGCATCCACACCATATGATCAAAATGTTGCTTTAATTGAGACATTTGTTCAGCATTGCATCATGCATATATTTACTTAAGCCATATAGATCTTCATGGGTGTTTGTGAGTTTGATTGATTTAAAGGATATAACTAGAGAAATCACATGGTTTACTACAACAAACATACAAGCAAGTGATAACATAAACCTTGTCTAGAAAATGGATATACGGAGGGTTACCTCCAGGATGAAACTTCATATATGGAGATATATTGTAAACGCGGCCTTTTAAGACAGTCCACATAGAACCATCCTGTTGGTGCTGTTTAACTTCCTCCATTGATATGGGTCTTCTGTTAGACTGTCCCTTCAATCCTGGAACACATGATGTCACAAAATAGAGAAGGTACAAGAATGTGGCAAGAAAAGCAGACTTTTTTAGAGATGATGCGCGGAATCGCAAAATTCTATCATCATAGGGACCCACGAAGGAAGTTCTAATAAACTTGAAAGATAAAATGACAATTGATCAAATAGCATACATAATGGTACAGATGTACCTTCTTATGCCTACTTCCTGTAAACTAAAGATAGAATTTATTTGGCTCGAAGTAATATGCAGACGGCTGCAAATGAAATTATCCTACAGTTTTAATGCAGTATTCACACACCACTATTTTGTGTCCAGCTGTAACCACTGACGGCTAATTAGTTGCGAAGGGTGTCTCTTTTGAGATGACCCGAAGTGGTGGTGTTCCTTCACTTTTCCCCAGAAGGATTCATAGCTCATAAACAGAATCATAATGGCAATAGAGATATAGTGTATGGAAAAGCTAAGTATGCAGAAATCATTGCAAGCTATGCCCACAATAACATCTAAAAGAGTTTTAACACCTGTCCTCATGTCTATCTAAGAATGTCCTCAACACCATTCACTAAGACATTTCTCTTTGATCCAGCAAACGATGTTGGCAGCTGCTTAAAGTAACCTTGATGGTTATAGCAATATCTCAATCAAGAATAATCATGCGCGGATGTCATTTGACAACAAGGCATAGCTATGTCTGCTTTCTTCTTTTGAAACTCTAGAAGCACTAATTTTTTGTAAGATACGGAGAAAAGGCAAATCAGGAACAAAAGCAGACTGCCTCACAGTGTTCGATCTTGGTTTTCCTTTGGTGCACGATAAGGCCCCATTTTCATTCTACTACTGACCAAAATCTATCTAAATGTGAGAGTTGGACGGTCTGAAGAGATCGATAGTTGGATAGCAGTGTAACCTTGTTTGCTTAAATCCAACCAGTAAGGCTATATATTGGGCACATTTTGACTGTGAAACCATAAGACACTTGAATAGAAACTATTCTTGCCACGTTAAAGGTGTGATGCTATCTCAATCTTGTCTAATGGCCACCATAACAACACAATTATCACTAAATTTACATAGAAGACCGCAACACCAAGCACAGGACATTTAGGTGGAAATAGCAAGAAATATAAAGTACCTGCAAGGTCAGGAAGAGTTCGAGTGAGCTTCAGCCAATCCATTTGGCTATAACCCTTCTCAAAGGGAACCTTGGCGCGAGGTGCAGCCTTCCTTCCAGCCGACTTCTGCTCGCCTGAATTTTTAACCAAAGTGGCAGCATTGTTTGAAGTGGATCCTTTTGAGGGATTGCTCGCATTTTTTGTGAAGGAAGTATCGATAACATTGAAACTCAAAGAGCCAACTGTTCCCTGCTGAGTGGGGATGGAATTATCGTCTACTTTATCCTTCCAGAGAGAACTTCTATTCTGACTGCTAATAGATAAACCATCAATATCCGAAACAAGCGTCTTCCCCTGTGGATCTTCTTGTTCAGCAGGTGGAGCCACCTACAGAAGTGAAGCATCACCGACAGAAATTATCACAAGAAATCGCGCATGAGAGATATGAAAACAGAGCAAATTCAGCAGCTTCCCAATTCTAATCAAGCTGGTAGTACATCAAACTTGCCTGACAGAAGGTGAAGTCATCGTCATTGTCCATTCTTGAACAATGCAGTAGTGAAAGGATTGATATTTAGCCTATCTGTCTTCTTGAAGTCGGACTAGCTCAGCTTCATGCGCCACCGAGGTTCTAATTGAACTGTAGGACTAAAAATCATTAGGCCAATTGATGGGCACAGTGATCAATCAACCTGAAGGACTAGGGGTTTACGAGTATCGGTCATGACATTTGAGAACACGCTTTGAGACTAAAAACCAGAGGCAAAGAAACACGACAACTGTCGGAAATTGAAGCAATGCGATCGGAGGAATTGAAAATCGAATGAAAGAACTCGAACCAATTGAGACTTGATCACCGTAAAACGGACCGCAAACTCGCGAGTGGTTTTGATCACGCCACCGTTTCATCCACTTTCGATCAACATCGGTCTCTGACTAAACTAACTTACGGGTATGACAGGAGATTAAAGAAACACAAACACACGAAACCGAACACTTACGAGGTTTCCTTCTATCCCAATTGCTCAACTGGGTCGCGCTCGGGAAGGATGAAGATGGGGGCGGACGGGGCAAAGCGAGGATCTTTGACAATTTTGAAAAGGTTGAGCGTTGGGAAGACGGTGCGAAATCGAAATCGAAATCAAAGCAAATTTGGTGGTCAAGAAAGGAGGAGAGCCAGTGCTGGGTCGAATCTGGTTTCCTCTCAAATGGCATATTAAAGAAAAAGCTGCCTCATTTTCAGTCATAAAGCACTAAAACAGAGCATTGCAATCGACACAGGCCTTACGGCCCAACAAGCTAAGAACCCCATTAAAAAGCTCGAAACTTTGAGATGGAGCTCAATGGAGCTTTCGATGTTTGGCTCGTGTTCGAACAGAAGAAGCAGCAAATCCGCTGACGACTGGAAAGATGGCATTTTTGCTCAGTTTCTCGGGCCCTGAAGAACTAACCACGGAAGGCCCATTTGGGTATATCGGGCGGGGAAAAAGTATCAGAAAAGTCCTAAACCTATTACATTTGTGTCAATTTAGTCCCAAATCTTTTTTTTTTTTTGCTAATTCAGTCTTAAACCTTTTATTTTTGTACCAATTCAGTTTTTTCGGCTAATTTTGTCTGGATATTGTTAAATTGTATGTTGGCCAGCCTAAGTGGCACTGCCGGTGCTGATGTGGATAACTTTTAATAATATTTTAATATTTTTTGAATTATTTATTTTTCTTTTTCTTTTCTTCCCTTTCTTCTTCCTTCGGGTGGTCGTTGGATCGATGACCGACCAGAGGCTAGGACCGGTGAGGTTGCCCTCGCCAGTGGCTATGAGGTCACGGCCTTCGACCTCGCGGCCTCTGATGAGGGCTCGAGCCTCTCCAGCGGCTGGGCGAGGCTCGCCCTCGCCGGATTTGGTGAGGGTGGAGCCTCACTGGCCATGGGTGAGGCCCGACCTCGCTAGATCTGGTAAGATCGTGCCTCGCCTAGCCATTGACGAGGGTGAGGGCGAGCCTCTCTAGCAACCTCGACCGGCTAGAGGAAGAAGAGAGGGAAGGAAAAAAAAAGAAAACAATTTTTAAAAAATAAATAGTTCAAAAAATATTAAAATATTATTAAAAGTTATCTGCGTCAGCGCCGGCGGTGTCACGTAGGCCAGCCAGCATCCACTTTAACAACATCTAGTTAAAATTAGCCAGAATAACTGAATTAGCACAAAGACAAAAAGGTTTAGGACCGAATTGATATAAAAAAAAGTTTATGACTAAATTGGTACTAATGTAATAGGTTTATGATTTATGACTTTTCTGAGATTTTTTCCCGAGGTGGGTGCTCTGCTGATGGGCAAAGAAGGACGACGTGGCAAGATCCAAAGAAAAAATGCGTCCCTTTTTCTGCGCTGTCCACCACTACAAAATATGAGACATATTTGATGGAGGATTTCAAGCTTAGTTAATGGTGGTGGTTGGCATCAAAATGGGTCATAGACATATTTTTTTTTATAATGGGCTGAGTTGTTATATGTGTTAATCATATTTAGTAAATGGGTTATAAATGGGTCAAAACATAATATTGGTGTTAAATGGGTTTGTCACTTATTTATACCCAATCAACCTCCATGACTTTTCTCTTCATTCTTTCTCACCCTTAATTGATCTGGACCCTACTCACTTCGCACTCTCACCTCTATTTAGGTGAAGTTTTCCTATATTTAATTAATTATGAAAGTGTTTTAGTAATATGGATTGAATCGGGTACGGGTCATTAGATTTGCATTACATTGAAATGAGTCGAAAGCGGGTGAAACGGGTTTAGTTGGGTCAGGCCATTTTCGACTCGACCCAAATTGATCCACAGGTCTATTGGCAATCGAATTGGTATTGGGCACTAGGCGTTTGTTTATTATCCTTTTGAAAACATTAGTGTGCATACACGATAAAGATGTTGATTATCAAAGTAAGTGGGAACGGGCTGCCAAAGCAAAATGCATCAACTGATCCGGAAGGTCCACTAATAACGACGCTAGAGCACGTGGACCCGTCGAATCTTTTGCCCCTTCTTTTCTTTAACGCTCTTCTTGTCCTAGCCTGACATCGACAGGCATCATTTCTCGGAGCATCGCTCCACTTTTAGCAGTTTGCCTTTTTTTTTCTTTACTTGAACGCTCGTCACTCATTTCTTCTACGTTACAAATTTAGTCACCTCCCTCCACCCTAAGATAGAACCCCGTCACCGGAAATAAAAAGCCCAAAAAAAGAAGAAGATAAAATCTGCCCATAGGCACGCGACTGGCTGTCGCTGCACGTGCCTACCCGGCAATCGCCCTGGGGATTCCCCCCCTGCCCCCCCTGTTTGTTTTTGTGCTTATAAAATATGAACACCAATGAAAAAAAATTAAAACTTTTCCCTCCCTCCCCCCCAAAATCAGAAAATTACTCGTCGCCGTCTCAAAATCGACATGTCACGAAATATGGACACGACCCCTGTAGAATGGGTAGATAAATATTTCAATTCGATTATTGATTTCGTGTTTGGTTTACGCTTACTTAGTTCATGAAATTGATATGTACTATTGCCTCCTTAATGACCAATCATGAAAACTAGGGAATCTACGGGGGAATGTCACGTGACACATGTCCGGGGAACGGACATCCTGAATTTAAGGCAGGAGGAGGAAAAGAAATCTCAAGTAATTCAAAGGAAAGATTACTTTTTTATCGGTGGGGGCCAATTAACATGTGTCTGGCGTCGACTTCATGGTGTATATTGGGAAGATGGTGTCTCATTTTTAGCACCTGAGCTGCTTCTTCTTCTTCTGCTTCTCTCCTCGTTTTAGGGTTCTGAAGCCGATCCCCCTCCCGCATTGCTCTCGTAATTGTTCATCCCTCTGAATCTGCGACCTGTCTCGGGCATCTGGGTTGGCATCGTCGCGTCTTTTGTTGCGCGGCGAAGCCATAAAGGTCTTGACTTTTCTCTCTCTTCGCTCTTTTGGTAGATTCTTGGTGGTGGGCACAATGTCGAAAGCGGGAGCGCTGGATCTGGCGACGGGCCTCGGCGGGAAGATGGACAAGAGCGAAGTCCTGTCCGCCGTTGACCAGTACGTCGGCGTTTCTTGGTTTTTCTGTTCAAAGTGCCCGGTGAAATTGTGCTCTCTGTCTCTGTCTGCGGCGAGGCTTTATCCTCTGTTTTTTCTTCCTTTTACACTTAATACTTTGATGATCTGATTGCTTCGATTCATGCAAGGTTCGGACGCAGAAAATAATCTGTTCCTCCTCTATGCATACATGATGCGCTTCCTTCGATCTGAGCACGTGGGTGCTTGTGTGCTGACGTCTAATTTTTTTCGTTTCTTTTGGATTGGTGGACGGTGAGGAGTGAAGATGAAGCAATTGAAATTGATTGTCATATGGATGGCGATGGTTCAGATTCCGTCCCTCTCTAGTCTTCTGGACGCGTGGCTTCCTGTTTTTTTTTTTAACCTTTTTCTTTTTGGAGAGAAAAACATGAAGCTATTCATTCATCGCATCGAATTACATCATCAAGAATACAAGACCACAAATTTCTTGGGCAAGCGGCTTTCTTGGTTGTGGTCGTGGGAAGAGTGATTTTATGCTCCTCGATCTCACTTGAAGAGATTCATCCACCATGAGTGGACGCAGTTGATTAAGACACAAGACCTTCTGTGTTATTGAAGCATCACATTCAACTTAGCAATACACAGATAATAAAACGCACGCCTCCCTTGGGTTTTAGCGAAAAAAAAAGAATTGGCCCTTTGTATATCAATTCTATCCACTGGCAACTCGAGTCCACGTTGATCCCTTTGTATGTACTGATGTAAATAAGTATAAGTATTCTAATTCTTATCTAACTATGACCAAGGTTTTTAACGAAAGAAGAATCTTTGTCCTCTTTTCCCCTTTTAGGCTAGCTTGCAGAATGATTGAAGATTCACAAATTTGCACTAGCCTGAGAAACTTAGAACTGTGGCAATGTGATGAGTGACAGAAAGGGTTTTTCTTGAATGTTATTGCCTTGTTAGATCTGTCTCTCGACTTCTTTTGTCATTCCAAAAGCTGTCTTAATTAGCAACCTTTCGGCTGTTTAATAAATTGATTTGATGCACTGAAAACAGAAGGACTGCTTTAATCTCCAGATCGCTGGACATAAAAAAAAATGCACTTTTTTCATGAATGATTTGCGTAACCAGAGACAAACTGTACCTGCATGTTTTATGGACATTGAAAGGTACCTTTTTTTTTTTCTTGGATAATTGATAGACTAGACATTAAGTCTAGAGAATCAGTGAGACAAAACTTACATTTAAGGGATAGAGATAGAGAAGTATATAGAGCTTAGCATTTGGAAGTGTTTCATAAAGAAGCCTATAGAGAGAAACTAGAGGTTGCTGGTTACAGGACTGAAAGAGGAGGCTTGATGATAAAAGGAAAAGAAGGGGGACATCAAGCGAAAGTTTAGCATCCATTTATTGAGATCAAATCAGAATGCTTAAGGTTTAAATTTTTTCTGAGATGATGTCAAATGTCAATGGTGGCATTCTAATATCTAGACATGCCCTGATATATAATTTGAGAGATCATATGCAATATTTACTTGAGTAATGATGTTACTTGAATCCAAGATGTGATAAAAAGTAAAAGAAAGCAACTCATGTTCTTGTGGAAGCCTTTTTAGTTTGCGTATGATGACCATGTACTTCATGTCGCAGCTGCGCCTGTCCCTGTTCTAGGGACGTGCCTGCTAAAAATTTGGTATTATTTCCTGGTATTAACTATTTAACGAAAACTAGAAAATCGAAATATCTTTACATACCTGAGCAATTTCTCTTAACATTTTCACTTTGGAGAATTTCCAAGACAAGAGATATCATGCATTCGCCTACAGTTAGTCCCTAAACCTCTTGATGACCATGGTCGAATAAATAATTTTTTCTGCTGGTTTAGGTATGAGAAGTATCATGTCTGTTATGGAGGTGAGGAGGAAGAAAGGAAAGCTAACTATAGTGACATGGTAACATATCATCCATTGCTGCTTTCATGCCTCACCATACACTTGCTTTGTAGATTGCAACGCAGCCTTGCTAAATGATTAAAATTACTGGTCGATTTGATTTCTAATGCTGACGCTCTCTACAAATGCAACTTCAGGTGAATAAATATTACGATCTTGTTACCAGCTTTTATGAGTTTGGCTGGGGAGAATCTTTCCATTTTGCCCACAGGTGGTATTGCCATTTGCTCTTGATTCCGCTTCCATTTCATTTGTTATCTGTGGAGCCTTGTGCTTGAACGACTAGTAAATGCTAATTCTGCTGATTGTCTTGAACCCTCCAGATGGAAAGGGGAGTCTCTACGAGAGAGCATTAAGAGACATGAACACTTTCTTGCATTACAGCTAGGCTTAAAACCCGGACAGAAGGTTTATTCCTCTCAATGTGGATAGTTGATCATAATATTTTGATACAACCGTTTATTTGGTTCCAACGGTGATTTGAGTTTCTTACTTTCTTTCCCTCCCGTTACAGGTGCTGGACATAGGGTGTGGAATTGGTGGACCGCTTAGGGAAATAGCTCGATTCAGGTCAGACTTAAAACTCTATGTCCCATCATGGTGCCATTGTTCAGGTTATGGTGAAAGTTACAATTATAATCTCTTTCTCTCTGGCGCGGATGAACTGTCCACTGAACAAAGAGAGGCGTAAGAGTGTTACCATGACTCTTTCATCTTCTTTTCCTTAGTAAGGAACTAGCGGTGTCTAGTGCGTGCAACCATGCGTGCACATTTTACTGTTCTGTCTATCAACTTTAGTGTACTGTGCGTAATGCAAAGTTGAGTGGTGCGAACTGAAGCTGAACAGCTGGTCTCATCGTTGTAAATATCTCTCGTCTGTTCCTTAGAGATACAAACCGCTGAGCTAAGAGTTGCGTGCATACATCTGACAAGTAGTTTATTTTCCCGTGTGGTTCTTGTAGGCTGATATTTTCTCTTCTCCTTTTCACAGCTCCGCGTCTGTTACAGGATTAAACAACAATGAGTACCAGATAACAAGGGGAAAGGTGCCTTTATTTTCCTTTCCTTTTGATAGTGGTGAATTTATTATTTCTTTCAGGTTGACATGTTTTCTTGCTCCATAGGAACTAAACCGCGTTGCAGGTGTGGACAAGACATGCGGCTTTGTTAAGGTTGGTCAAATCCCAACTGAAATCTTTCTTTAGTGGAGGCTTTGACCAGTTCTTTTCTCTTTCTTGGTGATTGGGGTAATTCTTCAGTAGGTAGAGAGAACTTGAAACAGTTCTTGGAGAACCTCAGACATTATGCCATTTTTTTCCCCTTTTTTATGGTCATGTCATGTTTTCTATCTGGTTCTGTGTTTATTTACTATTACATGTAGACAAAAAAGGGCTATGGTGGAAGAACGCTTTGCCAATCATTGTTTCTTGGTGATGCAGGCTGATTTTATGAAGATGCCATTTTCTGATGATACTTTCGATGCTGTTTATGCAATTGAAGCTACCTGCCATGCACCTGATGCTGTATGTTACATTTAGCTTCATTCTTGGTTATGCACCTGTGCTTTTCAGGCACTTGAATTACATGTGATTAATGTGTTGGTCTTGATTTTTCTCTCTCTGGATGCGACAGTATGGGTGTTACAAAGAGATTTACCGAGTGTTAAAGCCCGGTCAGTATTTTGCTGCATATGAGTGGTGTATGACTGATTCCTTTGATCCCAACAATGAAAACCACCAAAAGATAAAGGTTGGTGTGATCTACTTTTTCTCCATTTTTTTTTTGTGTATTTATAATCCAATGAGCTCATTTATGCTGCAAATGTGACCGTATCGAACTGTTGCAGGCAGAAATTGAGATCGGAGATGGCCTTCCCGACATCAGGTTGACTGGGCAATGCATTGAAGCTCTAAAACAAGCAGGTTTTGAGGTAAGGATTTTCACATCTTGCGTTAAAAGTGGACTATGACTGCTAATAGAAAATTTGGACATGCGACCTGAAGTTATTTATCTGAAGGTCATATGGGAGAAAGATCTTGCTGCCGAGTCTCCTGTCCCTTGGTACCTGCCTTTGGATAAAACTCATTTTTCCTTGACTAGCTTCCGCCTCACGGCTGTTGGGCGTTTGATTACCAAAAACATGGTAAGGTTCATTTATGGTGAACTTTTGGCTTTTGGAGTGCTTCAATTTGAACACTAATGTGATCTTGTGGCTTTAAGTATTCGAAGTAATTTCAGCATATCATTTCGTGTATGATGATCATGCATGCAATGTAACTATTTTTACGTTCATAGGTCAAGGCTCTAGAGTACGTGGGCCTAGCCCCTAAAGGAAGCCAAAGGGTTCAAGATTTTCTGGAAAAGGCTGCGGAGGGCTTAGTTGAAGGTGGAAGGTGAGGGATTCAATTATCTGGTTCTCCTCAATGACCTGTCAATTCTACTTTGGAATATCTCAGTTGGTAGTCTTTCTTAGAATTTTTCATGGTAGTCGGACAATCAAAAAATTGGTATCACTGTGTTTGTGCCTGCTCAATAATCTCACAGGTAGAGTCTGGTTCTTCTACTGATTATTCCCCACAGAAAAGAAAAAAGAGACTGCTCTGATTGAATTAGATGGGCTTATAAAGTTTTACCCTTCCAATGTCCAATGTCGAATGCATAGCACTGACGAATCTTTCGTTGATCATGTACTCCAGGAAAGAAATCTTTACGCCAATGTACTTCTTCTTGGCCCGGAAGCCCCAATCTGGGAATCAGTGATGTGGGGATCATGCAAATTTAACTTATTCCAAAGAAATGGAGTCGTTCAGGATCCTGACTAGTTGGTAGAATTTCATGTGTTTAGATGATTGGACCATGAGTGTGCCTGCTGGTCGACATTTTGGCTTTTTCAGTTGCTTGTATGAGTGCCTTCTGTTTGTTCTTTTAAAACATGCTTGCTTGCCGCTAGCAATTTACATCAGATGTAGCCCAAGTTTGGATCTTTTCCAGTCGTCGAATGGACCAATCAACTTTCTACTACTTCAGATTTATGACCATGTCAATTTGGTCGTGTCGTAATAGTAGAACCGTATGTATTTCTGTACATTAATTCCGTGGTTATCGCATGGACACCTCGCAAATGTGGCGATATTTCAAATTCGGTATAGTTCACGATGAACCTGCAGTTTCTTCACAATCTAGTACACCCTCGAACACCATTATAGACTTGTTATCTCTTTCGCTGGTTAACATTAGAGACCGACTGATCAGACAGTTTTACCCTCAATAGCTCATTATACACGATTAACGTATGTAATGGGAATCGTATCTGAAGATGTTGGCCGAGAAGAAAATCCACCCGTCAGCGGTCGCCATCCTTTGGACTTCTTCAACGCCATTGAAAAATTCCATGACACTTCCACACGACTCCCAAAATATCTTGGGATTATTTTAGGTGTCGTAAATGTAATAGATGGCATTTGAATCTAGGTTTTGCAAGTCACAACGGGATTACATCTTCAGGAAGCCTTGGCTATCGGTCTTTCGCTGAAGAGTGTCCGGCTTGTTCGAAGCTGTGAGTTTGAACTATGAACTCTGGAAGAAGGAAACAAAAGATGGCAATTTCTCATGTCTCTTGGACTCAGCCAATTGACAAAAAAATCTCTATTTAATAACATGTGTAAACTGGAAAGGCTCGTTCCTCTCTCATCTGCAAAATATAACGTATTCTTTTCTAGGGAAACAGACCTCCTTTCTCTTGCTGAGTGCTGATGCAACTGGGTTAAAGCAGCAAGCAAGGCGATGCATACTGAGTTCTCATCGTAGCACTCGTGGTTGCCGGTTGTCCTATCTCTTGATTTTTGTCTTATTTTATCCTGCATTATATGTGGGTTAACGTTCAATCTAGCAAGATACCTCATGCGTCGCATACGTTCCTATCTTTTCTTAACACATTCAAATATGAGCAGTGAACAATTATGTGTCTTCTAAATAAAAGCTACAATGGAAAGAAAAGGATGGAAGAAACAAAAAAAAGAATTTCACTCCAAACAGACCGTTAATAACGTCTTCTTCTTGGCTTATAGCATTTAAACACACGTTTACATTCATTCTGAGACATATTTTTCTGGGTTTAAAAGTTCATCTGCGTCGGAATAAGCATGTTATTAGTTGTCCCATGTACAACCTGAAGACAAATAGATAGTCACCTTACTTATCTTGGCATAGGTATGAGCTGTCGCTGCTCGACTCTTGCCCGCAAGCAACCACAGGGATTCGCCACAAACGCACGTTTGTTGTTGTAATATTTTTTATTTTGGATTGATAGGCACGTTCGGAATTTCAAAAGCAAAAAAATCTCAAGTGTTGCTGCGCTACGTCGGGTCATTTTTAACTTGTGATAGTTATTTATTCGTCTTCAGGTTGTATACTAGACAACTGGCAACACGCTTGTTTTGGCACCATTTAGCACTGTCCTCTCCAGACCCTCGCTTTGCTTTGCATAATGTTGAAAAAATGCTTGTTCCTGCTTTGATCCTACCTATTTCCTGCACTATTTTTCTGATCCGTGCAGTATCAATTGATGCACGGGCGAAGAAAGCTCCAAAACGAGCTAATTCTTTTTCGAATCTCCTTGCTTTTGGTAGGTACATAGAGAGAGCAAGTTTATTGGTGGTGGTGGCAATGATGCCGAAAGCCAGAGCGCTGGATCTGGCAGCGGGCGTCGGCGGAACGATCGACAAAAGCGAAGTCCTCTCTGCGATTAACAAGTAGGCTTCTTCGCTGCTTTTTCTCTTGAAAATGCTGACATGGTGATTGATGGGATTATATCCGAACCGAATCAGAACAATCACACAGATAATAGAAAATTTGATACTCGAGTTTACCCAGGTTCACTCCAGAATAGGGTTACGTCTTGTAAAGGAGTTTCACTATGATATTTAAGTTTTACAATCACAACTACTCGTTACAATGATCTCTCGTACAAGTATAATATATAGGACTTAAAATGGGCCTAAAGCCGAAGCCTATCCGAATTCCTTTAATCCCACAACAAATGGGTCAGCTTAAAACATAAGCCAAAAACCCCGCCCGCTGTCCGGTCAGTGGGACCCCTGTTTCGGGAGCGCTGCCCCCGAGCTCCCGCATTCCGTGCACAGGGGTCACATGTCGTCGGATCATATTTCGATTTTCCTAAACTCACGTGGGCGTGCCCGGTATGAAAAATAAGAGTCCCCGAAGTATTTGCCAACTCCAACAGTGGTGACAAACAGATTGGGCCTCAGCCCAAGCACTAGTTGGTCGTTTCAACCCCCTCCATTCTTTGACCAAGGAGGAGACCGTGGGTGCTGCTGAAGCAGTTACCTCACCTATATATAGCACGCCAAAGGGCACCACGCATCCGAACACATTTGTTCCCAACAAGTAGTTGCCCAGTTCTTTGCGGATGCTAGATTTATGGAAAGTATAAGTTTCGAAACCATTAGACAACAAGTGACAACGATATAGCGGTTAGGTTTGAGCTAATGCTAATGCTTCCCTTCATTGACAGTTAAAAGTCAACCATCTTTAAATTTCTGAAGATTAGTTTGACAATTGATAGCTTATACAGTGACGTTTAAGAAAAAGAGTAAGGTAAAAAGGATCGCCAAGTTTACATGTCTGGGCGATTTCCTCATCGTGTAGGTTGGAAAATCATTGCAAAAGTTGCTGTTTCCAACTTGCGTATCCATAGATAGTTGATGGGCTGTTTATGGTAAATTTCCTGAGATCTTTGCTAATGGGAAAGGTTTATCAAGTCCGTTGGAATAATTTTTTCTGGCTTCGCCAATGACTGCGAGTGAGTGCCTTTTGGTCCCTGAGTTCGTGCGATTCAGGCTATTTAAACTCCCAGGAAGCTTCAAGATATAATCCCACAACTCAACACAGATCTGTCGTGGCAACGCAATGAAAGATAGACAGAAGATCTTGTTTGAATGTTTTGCCTTTGCTGGATCTTCGTCCCTCAACTTTATCCACTTGTTTAAATTGCTAAATGCAATCAAAATGAAAGATGCCAATCCCTTCTATCTGCAGGAGCAACCTTACCTGTTGTTCTAGGCACCTTTCTGATTTATCTAGTCTGAAGTGAGTTTGACTCCAATGGTAGTGACAACGAGTAAGATCGTTGATATTAAGTCAGGTTCCCATCGGGTCAACTAGAAAATAATTGCAATTTCCTTTCATGCCCGAGCACGTTGGTATTCTGTAGCTCCCACACCTAGGGTCCTTTAATCGCCCGATAGCCACCGTGGACCTTAATAGACTCTTTTTTTTTGTTGCTGGTTTAGGTATGAAAAGTATCATGTCTGCTATGGAGGTGAGGAGGGAGAAAGGAAGCTAACTACAGTGACATGGTAAGTGAATGTTCCAAAGTCCAAACCAGTACTCTGGTCTCAGCATTTGTCCCCGTGTCAGAAAGATAACTATGCGTCCCCTGAGCCAATAATATTTGTTTTTGGCTCTCAACCAAAGCTAGCTCATTTACTAGCCCTTTTAGAATGTAGAACAGCCCTGTGATGGATGACTAAAACTACTGGTTTGTATTGCTTTTCTAATCGCCCAAGACAATCTCCATAATGCAACTGCAGGTCAAAAAATATTATGATCTTGTTACCAGCTTTTATGAGTATGGCTGGGGGGAGTCCTTCCATTTGCACGCAGGTCGTATGTTTCCCATGCGCTCTTGATTTCACGCCCATGTCTGCGGACTCCTGTACTACTTCATACATGGCGCTGATTGTGTTGTTGATCCTGCAGATGGAAAGGGGAGTCTCAACAAGAGAGCATGAAGAGACATGAACACTTCCTCGCATCGCAGCTAGCCTTAAAACCAGGTTACGAGGTTTGTTCCTCTCAGTGTGGATACAAGATCATGAGATTTTTTCACAATTTTGTATGTTTTAAAATGGTAATTTTACAATTATTATTTACTTCCGCTCCCATTATAGATGCTGGATGTAGGGTGCGGAATTGGTGGACCTCTCAGGGAAATAGCTCGATTCAGGTTAACATATAATTCTCTCTGTTCCCATCATGGAGACATAGTTCCGGTTATGTTCGAAGTTGCAATCAGATCTTCCGGTTCTGATGATATGTTTACTGAACTGAGGCACCGAGCCATAAGAATCAGAATGTTACCAATTGCCATAACTTCTTACCTTCTCTTTCTCGGAAGAGCCAAAAAAAGAATTAGCAGTGCCTAGGATGTGCGACTGTGCATGCACGTGTAATTGCAACACAGTAGTTGAATTTATTTGGCCGCGCACAACTTAGAGAAGTGGGTTGATGCGTTAGAAGCTTAATACTGGGGTGGCCTCGTCCTCCTGAATATCTTTCATCTGATCTGTCCATAAACATACTCCCGAGCTAAGATTTGTGTGCATACATCTGATAAGTAGCTTAGTGTTTTTAATTATTGTTCTTGTAGACAGACACTCTTCCTTTTCTACTTCGCAGCTTCACATCTATTACAGGATTAAACAACAATGAGTACCAGATAACAAGGGGAGAGGTGACTTCAACTCTTCAAAACATCAAATTTATCATAGTTCACCAGTTGACAGGTTTGCTTGCTCCATAGGAACTTAATCGCATTGCAGGTGTGGACAAGACATGCAAATTTGTTAAGGTAAGTCTGATGTCCGATTTCAATGGGAACTCTTTTATCAACCATTTGTGTTTCTTACGCTGTTAGCATCATGTTGAGTCCTATATTCACAATTTGTGTCTACGCACTTGGAAGACAAATATATGGTATGGGGTGGAAAATATCTCGAAAATCATTGTTTCTTGCTGATGCCTGCAGGCTGATTTCATGCATATGCCATTCTCCGACAATACTTTTGATGCAGTTTATGCAATTGAAGCTACCTGCCATGCACCCAATGTCGTATGTGACTTTCAGATATGTTGTTGGTTGTGCACAGGAGGATTGTCGACATGCTAGGACCACTCATAACTTAACGAGCTTGTCTCGCTTTTCTTTTGCCTCTGATCTGGACAGTATGGATGTTACAAAGAGATTTTCAGAGTATTAAAGCCTGGGCAGTATTTTGCTGCATACGAGTGGTGCATGACCGATTCGTTTGATCCACACAACAAAAGCACCAAGATATTAAGGTGGTTGTACAGAGATCCATCCATATTATTGAGCATGTGCAATTTAACTGATACGGAATTTATTAGTGGTGCGTTTCTGGACCGATTGGACAAACAGAAGTCCAAACGGAAAGCGAAACGGTGATGCGATTAGATGGTTTTTTTTTTCTATTATTTTAGTATTAATTTTAAGGGTCGTTTTTGTAATTTTGCTATTTGATGCTTATTAACTTTCCAATTCAGATTAAGTAACTTTCCTATTTGATTAGGTTTCCAATTCAGATTAGGTAAATTTCCTATTATGATTAGGTTTCCTATTGTAATTAGGTTTAACCCCTATAAAAGGGTGTTTAGGGTTTGTTTTGAAGACAGAATATTACTATCATCAATATTGAATTTCGAGATTTTTCTCTCTAAGCAAGGTTTTGCTTAAATTATTCGCGGAACGCTGCGTCAGGTGGTATCAGAGCCTATGGCGACTGGCGGTGGTCTTCGTGACGATGCTCAGGAGACTGGAGCCCCAACCCTTGGGGACGACGCGTTGCAACTTTTGGAGCAGCGTTTAATGGAACGCTTGGATCAACGATTCGATCAAAGTCTTCGTCGTTTCGAAGAATGATTTGACGAGTTAACAGAACGATTCGAAGGTCTCGCCGTTGATGTGAACCGGAATCGGCGGAACGATAGAAGGCCGGGTGCAGATCTTGCTCGCGGTGATCCTGTTGATAGGCCTGTTCTTGTCCACAGGCAGAATAACCCTCTATTTTCAGAGAGTTCAGAAGAAGAAGAAACTGAAATTTTTGATGAGGAACGTGCTGATTATGGCGGCAGACGTTGTCATGGAGGATTTCAAAGAGGATATGATCGGAGAGATGGAAGACGACGTTACGACGATCGTGAAGGTAACGACTTTAAATTGAAAGTCGATATCCCTTATTTTAATGGTAATCTGGGTATAGAAGAATTTCTGGATTGGCTTGCTGATATAGATAGATTTTTCGATTATATGGAAACCCCTTATGAAAAAAGGGTGCGATTAGTAGCCTGTAGATTAAAGGGGGTGCGTCTGCATGGTGGGAGAGATTGCAGAATAAGAGGGAGCGAGAAGGGAAAGAGAGAGTTCGAACTTGGACTAGAATGAAAAGGCTGTTGAAGCAAGAATTCCTTCCACCCGATTATGAACAGATTATGTTCCAACAGTATCAACATTGCCAGCAGGGAAATCGGACTGTGCATGAATATACGGCCGAATTTATGAGATTGGTGGAGCGGAATAATTTATCAGAGACGGAGGGACAGCAAGTGGCCAGATATCTCGATGGTTTAAAACCCTTCATTCGAGATAAAATTGGAGTGCAGTTTCTGCGAAATTTAACTGAAGCCAAGAATATGGCGATGAAGGCAGAATTGATGCAGCAAGACAGGGGAAGAAGAGGCTACGAAAATTATTGAGGTAGCAGTTCGAGCAGTTCGGTAGAAAAGAGCAGTTTCAATAATCGCTTTAACGCAGGGCGAAATCAGGAAGATAAGCACAGATGAAAGCAGGGGTTTGCGAGCCGTTATATCCAGATCCTGATTTTAACTCGAGGACGAGTTCTCTTCAAGTGGAGGAGAATGATGTAGAATTTATTAGTGGTGCATTTCTGGACCGATTGGACAAACAGAAGTCCAAACGGAAAGCGAAACGGTGATGCGATTAGGTGGTTTTTTTTTCTATTATTTTAGTATTAATTTTAAGGGTCGTTTTTGTAATTTTGCTATTTGATGCTTATTAACTTTCCAATTCAGATTAGGTAACTTTTCTATTTGATTAGGTTTCCAATTCAGATTAGGTAACTTTCCTATTATGATTAGGTTTCCTATTGTAATTAGGTTTAACCCTTATAAAAGGGTGTTTAGGGTTTGTTTTGAAGACAGAACATTATTATCATCAATATTGAATTTCGAGATTTTTCTCTCTAAGCAAGATTTTGCTTAAATTATTCGCGGAACGCTGCGTCATTAACGAGTTCAGTTTATGATGCAAACAAGACCGCGCTGAATTGTTTCAGGCAGAGATCGAGATAGGAAATGGCCTTCCAGACACCCGGCTGACCGTGCAATGCATTGAAGCTTTAAAACAAGCAGGTTTTGAGGTAAGCTGTTTTTATGAAGTTGCTTGCATTAAAGTGGAATACGACTGCTAAAAAGTCTCAGCTCTCTCCTCTCGACCTATGACTCGACGTTTGCTGATGTGAAGGTCATATGGGAGAAAGATTTAGCCGATGGCTCTCCAGTCCCTTGGTACCAGACTCTGGACAGAAACCATTTCTCCTTGAGTAGCTTCCGCGCAACGGCTCTCGGGCGTTTGATTACCAGAATCACGGTAAGCTTGTTAGTGCCGCCACCTTCTGAATTTAGTATGCTTTAGGGAGGTAAGCATAAGCATTCAATCTGATCTTGTGGCTTTTAATATTCGAAATACAATCGGCATATTATCTCTAGTATAGTGATTCTTGCATGTGATGTACCATAGGTCATGTCTCTCGAGTGCGTGGGGCTAGCCCCAGAAGGAAGCCTAAGGGTGCTAAAAGTTCTGGAGAGGGCTGTGGAGGGCTTAGTTAAAGGCGGAAGGTGAGCGATCCGATTTTCAATCTCGGTCCCCTCAATTTACTTTCGAAGCTACTTTAGAACGTCTCAATTGAGAAATCTGTACTCACATGGGGCATTAGTGTCTGCACTCAGTAGAGCTTGTGGATGTGGTTTATGGGGTTGCATTGCTGGTTTAGGTCTGACTTCAAGGGTCATAACCTGAAAACACCAGCGGCTTTTAGTGAGAATTACAGTTGCATTCTCTTAAAGGGTAGATTCCAGTTTACATACGCAGAGATTTAAAACAAACTGCTCTGTTTGAATTCGCTAGCCTTGAATTTTATTTAGTCTGCGTCCAACCTTTGGTGAAATAAGTGCTAATGATGAGTCTAATGCTAATCATGTACTTCAGGACAGGAATTTTTATGCCGATGTACTTCTTCTTGTGTCGGAAGCCTCAGTGTGAGAGTTCAGTGATGTCGCGGGGATCGTGCTAATTGAACTTATGACAAAGAAATGGTGTCTTCCAGAGTCAGAATGGCACTATCGCCTGTGTTGAATTTTGAGTGTGAGAGTGTGGTGCGTGGAGTTCGCTTTTCAGTTGCTCGTCGGAATTGTGCTCCTTTAAGACATGGTGTTCGCTGCGGTTGGATCTTTTCCAGGAACCATCTTGTCGCGCGAAACATCGATCACCATGTCCATTGTATCGCTTCTTAATTTGTGCAACGGTATGTGCCGCAGTACCTAGTAATTCTCACTACTTGGCGGTTAAACAGATTGCAGATTTCCTGCATCTGCAGTGTACACCATACACGCAATGCACCAGCGCAGATGAAACTACAGATTCGTCCGAACCCGACACCCATTCTAGCATATACCCTTTAACACCATGAGAGTGATTTTTGCGGGTCCAGGCCATCTTTCGCTCATCCCGATCGCAGAGAATCAAAAGCCATGGCCTTTCTTACTTTAGATAATACGTTCTGTCTGTTATTAATTACATTATGATATGGCTATGCCATCTTTATAGCAGGCCATTTTGTATTTCTGCAATTGCCTATGATTCAAGTTAGTTGTGAGTTCCTGTCACAAGTCAGCAAATGACACATAAAGAGCAGAACGAGGCGTAACTCAACAACTTCCATGTTCAACTCATTTGTGCAATAAGTACTTGCATCACATTGACAATCCAGAACTAACCCACAACTTAATAGGAGAAATGTCTATAAATAATTTAAATTAAGGTAAAAAATTTCATACAAGAGTTCGTAAATTGAAAACGTAATTAAGAAATGTTAATAAATGTTAATAATAGATAAAAAAAAGTTGACAATAAAATAAAAATAAAGAATGAGAGTTCGTAAACCGGTCAGTAACTTAATCGAAAAAAAGCCCGTAAGTCACTTAAATAAAAGTTCGTAAATCATATAAGAGTTGGCAACTTTGAGACTTTGATAGAAAAAAAAAAGGACGGTTATCAACTCTTTGAGAAATCTACCAATAGGAGAAGGCCCGATTGAGAGAAGAAACGGTAGAATTAAACCTTTGATTTTGGACCGGTGAGTTCGAGTTTGCAAATAGTATTCGGAAAAGCATATGAAATAGGAAGGGGTTTGTTTTAATTTTTCATACCTCGTGTCTAAAAATGAAAAATAACTAAAATGGTACATATTGAAAAAATCTATATCCTAATCCACTAAAACCAGAAAAAAGTGCCAGACTTCATACAAAATTATCATGTAATTACAAATTCACTCGAAATGAAAAAGAAATTTGGAACGATATTTTTTTTTGGGGGGGTTCTTTTCTTTTCCGCAACCTACGAAATTGGAATTTAAAAATAAATAGCACATTTGACTTATAACTTTTCACATCTTTTAGTTAGAGTGAACGGCACCTTTTCGTGTTCGAGGAAAAAGTAGCGGAAACTTCTTGAAAAAAAGTATGAAGATCGGAACCAGAAAAAAGAAAAAAAGATAATAATAAATATCGAAACTGTGAATGAAGAACAAATTCATGGAAATTTCCACTGATAATAAAAGATTTGGACAAAAAAAATGGAAAAGAAAATAAAGATCACATAAAGATTCGGAGGATCCTGGGTCAACAACATCTTGTCCGATGGGCCAGTACCGTAGTTGTTTTTGCCTAAGGTAATTTTCACATCTCAAATATTCTGCTGCCTAATTTATGAAAAAGAAAAGAAAAAACAAAATATATTTTTCTTTAAAAAATAAAAAAAGTGAAATAAACCCACTTGGAATTTCTTATTCGAGCCGTCTGACAACTGTGATCTCGATTCTCTTCAGAATTTTAGGGATTCTATTATTATGTTCACGAGAATTCAGAACCATTGATGATGGTTGGTGCGCCTGCTTGCTTCTGTGGACCATTCCAAGAATGCCATTCATTCGCTGCGTATTGCTGCCAAAAGTCTGAATACGAATCGGTCCGCAGCACGCTTTCCTAGGCCTTTCTGCTGCTGCTTCTTCTGCGCACGAAATTTTCCTGCATTGATGGTTTGACAGGGCCAAGTTGAATCGATAGGAAGTGTGATTTTCCATTTGGTGGACTGGGTCTCGACGTCTTCGTCCGCTCTTTTCACGCAACAATGAGTCGCGCGAAAGATGGGCGAAAAATCTCGGATGTGTGGAGACGACTAGACCCTCTCTTCCGAGCTGTCTCCACCACCAACCACCCATCCCAAATGGCATACCCATATCAGAAAGTGCTCATGATGATAGGGCTGATGAAACGCAAGGACTAGACATGGACGCTTCCGTCGGTAGACGCCACGCATTCGCGTCATATCTATCGAATTATCGATGAGGAAGTGTCCAATTCTTGGCCACGGACACTTTCCACTGTCAAGTCCAATTATAGATGAGCAGGTGTTTTTCTTATAGTCGGTACGGTTGAAGTTTTGGAAGTTTCTATCGATTTGCAGCGCGGGTATGGCGACTGCATACTTAGGGTGCGCATGAATACCATTTTGTGCCCGAGAGTTATTTTTGAACAGAAATGATTTTTTTTTTATTCTGTGCCCGGAAATAATTTCTGAGTATTTGAAGGCGTTTGATAAACTGTCCAAAATTTCTATTTCTAGAGTAGAAAAGAACATAAATGCGTTTGGTAACTACACAAAATTTCTGTTCCCAAATAATATTTTGAATTGTTTAATTTTTTTTTCTTTCTACCCGGCGACCGGCCACAGCCCAGGGCCGGCGAGGGCGTCACGGCCCTCGCCGGCTGCCGGCGGAGGCGAGGGCGAGGGCTGGACCCTCGCCGCCTGGGCGAGGTGGCCTCGCCCAGAGGCGGCGAGGCTCGACCTTGCCCAGATCGGCGAGGCCGAGCCTCGCCGTCGCTACCACACGGCCGAAGCCGACCTCGCCAGGTGGGTCGCGACGGCGAGGCTCGGCCTCGCCACGGCGAGATCGGCTTCGCGGTGGGTCGCGACGAGCGAGGCTCGGCCTCGCCGGATCGGGCGGGGCCGAGCCTCGCCGGCCTCGCTGACCGACGGCGAGGCTCGGCCTCGCTTGATCCGGGCGAGGGTCCAGCCCTCGCCCTCGCCGGCGAGGGCGACCCTCGCCTCCGCCGGCGGCCGGCGAGGGCCGTGACGCCCTCGCCGGCCCTGGGCTGTGGCCGGTCGCCGGCGGCCGGCCCAGCCCAGGGAAGAACAACACAAAAATAAGAAAAGAAAAAAAAGAAAAAAACTGATTCTCAAAATTGTGCCGAGAAACAAGAAGCAACTTTTTTTTACTTGTTTCTCTTCCAAAACTGTTTCTCGGCACAAATTTTCGCAAAAATGTGCCAAGGAACAAAAAGTTTACCAAACGCATTTCTATTCCCAAACTATTTCTGGGAACAAAAGAATAGAAATTTTCACTATTTGGCACGTTACCAAACGGGCCCCTAATGTGCACAAAGAAGGTAGATTTCTAGTAAAAGGACGGGCGAGCTTTAAAGGGTTCGCGCCCAATCTACCATTCAACTACACAGTTAATGTTATGGAACTGCACAGAATAACCGGTCAACAAGAACAACCATGTAATGAAACCACAACAGACGAGTTCAGACAACAGATTGGATTGGCAACAATAGTTAAACACATCATCAAAAAGGTCAGGAGTATATGTAAGAACACATCGACAACATTCGACTTGTTTCTTTCTCTTTTTCCCTTTTTCTTTCTTGGTGGTACAAGTAGCTTGTGAGATCGAAATCAGAATCCAATCAAACGGAATAAAGAATGAACTCCGCGGTGTCCACCCCGCCGAACGCCCCGCGGCCGCACGGGCGCATCTGGGCCGGGGCGCCCTTCGCGCCGCCTACGCCGCTGAGGTGGTGGTGAGGGGGGTCGCCGCCGTCGTGGTGGTGGTGGGGGTCGTCGGCGTTGACGGGCGGGTGGTAGTACAAGCGGGCGGTCTGGGGGCAGTGGGAATGGAACCTCGCGGCGATCCTCACACCTGCATCCAGCATCTCCACGTACTTCCCCATCTCAATCACACCCTCCAAAGAACAACAAAACTTCCACCCCTCTTCTCTTCCCACTTCCTGAGATCTACGGAACGGAAACGAAGATCAAGATCAGAGAGGAGGAGGGAAAGAGGAAGAAGATCGAAAGGGAAAAGGAGGGAGGAAGTTGCAGGAACGAGGAATGCTTAGAAAACGTCCCCAACGTGAACGCCCATGAAAATGGGAATCCAAGATGGGGAGGCGCTTGTGGGAGCTGGCGTGTGGTTGAGCGGTGCCATATATAACAAACAATTACAGCAATTGCTGATCTGTCCTTTTTCACATTCGTTTTTCCCAATTTCCCCGTTAGGTAAGATGGACAATTTTCAGATGTGCCCCTGGGTTTTTAGCATATTCTTGCGTACCTGGGTGTCCTTCCAGCTCAATTCTCTGAATTAGTCATTGCCAAATTAGTTACGTGCGACACCCCCTATAGATTTGTTCATATTTGCAAAAAAACACCAACTAGAAAGGTGTCATTGTTTCGCGGATTTAGTTAAAAGGTGCATCCGGAATATTTTTCAGATGAAAAGGTTTGGTTAAAAAGTGCACTTGAGGCGCTCGTTGCTCGACCAAATGGGGAGGAATTGTCGAATATGTTTAACAAGCACCCCAAAGCCGACAATTGTTAACTAGGGTCTAAGTAGAATAAGTAGGTATTATATTTTCCTTTTCCTAATAATTGAAATCAATGTTTCAATAAATCGATCATTTCATTTCCTTGTTATTATTTATGATTGAAGAGACATAACTATTACTTTTAGCGTACAGATTTACTCTGTAAAAAGGTAAATATTCTTGCGAAAAAAAACTTTCAACTAATATAATTCCTTCGAGTTTGATTTGTATCACCAAACCGCCCAATGGGTGCGTAGCCGAGATGCTTTTTCCACTTGCTAGAATATAGGATTTTAATTAATTTTAGATTAGGTGAAGTGGTGGAAGGGCGGGCACACCAATAGGAATAGAATAAGAGGGTGCTTGAGAGATGAGATCGAAAGACAAAGGAGGAATCTCTCTCTAGGTGGGTCTCCTTCTCGATTCGTGCCTATGTTTTTGGGTGATTGAACAAGGATCAATTTGTGCAAATTTTCGTTTCATCAGAAAAGGAATCGAAGCCACCTAAAGGGAACACTAGTGGGCAACCCAAAGAGCAAAAGCAAATATCTCTAAAGGTCGGTCAATGAAGAAGACGAGGGACACACATTCGAGGATATGCGAGATGCTAGGCCCTTCAAAATGAAAGGAAGTGGCGAACAGCAGCAGCAGGGGCCATCGGAAACTTAGAACTGCAAATATTCAGAAGTATAAGGGCTTCCCTGCAAAAAACGCAAAGTAAAAAAGTGGGGAACCGCGTCAACCGTTGAACGAAACCTAGGATGAATGGTAGTCGCCGCGATGAGACGGGCAACGCTCGCTGTTGAGTTCTTTGACTATTATGACCTTTTCCCCCTCTTTGACTAAAGAGCTCTCTCTGGAAGCCAGATTGACCGCTTACTGTTCAGGGGTGAATTCGTAAATCTGCATTTCCCGTAGTCTTCGCTGGAATTGCCGCTAGCCAGCTTTTTATTGTTTTTTTTTTATTCCTTTTTTTGCTTTGACTTTGCAGTTTTCGGACGAATTTTCAATTTAACTTTATATCACCCGATTGATTTTGCTAGCTTTCATGAAACACGTTTATGGAATGGAACTTGAATTGTCGATGTTTTGAAATCAATGGCATTGTGTGCGTACACATACATAGGACGACCGCATGAGATTCTTATTTTCTTTGGTGCAAACCGACCGGCACCGGGTAACAACTCCCCCGCTCAACTTTGAATTTTCTCCTGAATTTTTTTTTTACGTTGATCATTTTATTTTTTAATATTCCACCACTTGTTGTTTTATTCTTTCCGTGATGCATGAATCGCCCCCACCATGCGCATGGCGCCGTCCATGTTAGAATTTTTTTTTTAACAATGGTTTGTTTTTACTTGGGCCTGAGCATTGATTGACTATCACTTTATGCGCATTAGACATTGAACCGACTCGCAAAAGACAATTGTTTAAAAGCGAATCATGCGGTCTAGCCACCCCCCTTTCTCGCTCAACAAGCAATACCATCGCGTTGCGTGAGCATAGTGAGATTCATTAAACTTAGACGATTCGAACCCTTTTCCCAAAAAATCCGGAGTTATCACCTCTCATCGTATCTCCATTGATTTTTCATAATTTCATGAGCTTACGTAATGTTGGTCCAATCGTTTTATCTTCGGCTGCAATAGCATGCGAGAAATATTTCTTTCTTTCTCCCTTTCTTTTCTCCTTTATGCTCGAATCGCATCGGCGTTGATTTTGTTTCGGCTTATGGGTAACGTTTACATTGTTTATTTACTCGATAAATCTTTTGGGGGCGTGGTTGATCAAATCGGCCCTATTTGTCCACTCGGAGCCCCTCTCTCCAATCTCTCGATTAGGAACATAGCCTACCATATTCATGTCCTAGAAAACCTAACTCCCATCTAATGTTGTTGTCCGTAAAAGTCATCATTTCACACGGCAAGAGCACGTTCATCATTGGGGAGCTTGAATTCTTACCTAAACAAGCTCAAGGATACAAAATCGTGGGTGAGTCAAGGAACGACGGCATTGGCGCAGCTACATGAGCATGACTAGCCCAATTTATTGGACCATCAATTGAGCGGTAACAAAACCCTCAATAGCGAATGAACCATTAGAAACATTCTGTAACGCATGCTTTTTCAATCAAATATATATATATTTTAAATCTAATTTAACTTAGGGTTAATACTACGAAAAACCCCAAACTGGTACACCTGTGATAATTTTACTGCGAACTAATTTTTTTACCATCAAAAACCCTAAACTGGTACGCCTGTGACAAAATTTATCCTGAACTATTTTTTTTACCACCAAAAACCCTAAACTGATACACCTGTGACAAATTTACCCCGAACAATTTTTTTGATAACCAAAAATCCAAAACTGGTACACTTGTGACAAATTTACTCTCCATTAAATTGGATTAATATTAAGAAAAACCATGAATTGGCAAACTTGTGATAAACAGAGGAATAAAACCCTAAATTGGTACACTCGTCAACTATCACGTGTCATCAAACTTAGCAATTTGATAGTAAAATTAAATGGAAACTAACGGAGAGTAAATTTGTCACATGTGTACCAGTTTTGGGTTTTTGGTTGTCAAAAAATTAGTTCGGATAAAATTGTCATAGGTGTACCAAGTTGGAGTTTTTTGTGGTTAAAAAAATAGTTTTGAGTAAATTTGTCACAGGTATACCAGTTTGGGATTTTTTGTGGTATTAACCCTTTAACTTAATGTATGACTTTGCATTGTTGTTATTCATTACTTAGCCGTGACATATAGTCAAATTTTTCTTCTTGAAATATTTGTTGTTGAAGTACTCAGGACTCATCCACTCACGCGATAACAAAACGTAATATATACAGGTCTTGCTCAATTGAAGAATCGCCGCACAGCCAGTTTGCTTCACGGAAAATAAATAATTTAAAAAATATTTTTCTAAAAACAATAACTTAAAATGATTAGTCCATGAAAATTACTTCATCATCGTCAACAATTTATATCTAACCATTTTCATCAACAATGAAAGTTTTTTTCGTTCGTTCATTTTTGTAAACGGTATAAACAATTGTTCTTAGAAAAAAAAATTTCCAAATCATTTATTTTTCGCAAAATAAACGGATCCTAAAAACAAATGGAGCCTTTGCAAAAGAATTTTAGGGTCCGTTTGTTTCGGAGAAAACATTTTTAGAGAAAACATTTCTTTTCATTTTTCAACGTTTGATTCGCTTAGGAAAATGAATTTAGTCAACGGAAATGATTTTTCTACCAAAACTTAAATTTATGAAAATGATTTTCTCTTTGAAAGAACCAAAAAAGGTTTTCCAAAATATATCTAGGTATCGGCGCCTGAAACCCAAACTCTATACTTGGGTACGGAAACCCTAAAGTTGGTTCCCAAGTCCCCACGTTCAGGATTAGGTCTACAGCGGCCGAGCCCAGGACCTTGATGCTCGAGCTTAGGCCCCCGGCCCCCGGCGCCCACGCCCGGGTCCATCGAGGTTGGGTCCGAATCCTCGATGCCCATACACAATGCTCTGGCACTCGAGCTCGGTTCCATAAAAGGCTGTGCTCGGGTCCTTGATGCTCAAGCTCCGGTCCTAACCCTCATCTCGGGTCTACAAAGGCCATGCGAGGGTCATCGGAGCTTTGGCTCGAAACCTTGGTTAATGAAACGTTTGTTCTTATAATTTGAATTTTTATTTATTTATTCCTTTTTCTTTTCTCCAAGCGAGCTCAAGCCTCGCCAAATCTAGCAAGGTGGAGTCTCGCCCGAGACCGGCGAGGTTCGAGCTCATTAGAAGGAAAATGACCTAAAAATTATATATTTTCTGCTAAACAAACGCACCCTTAGTAAAAAATTTTAGTATGTCTAGCATTATCTACTTAAATGCTTATCATTTATCAAGAGGAGAATAATGACCGGATTGATGATGCTGCTCTTTAATTTGTTGGATGTATGGATAACACCTGGGGCTGCTGCACCTGAAAAGTTTCCTGCTCTTTCTCGTTAGTACCGTTATGTGTTCACTTGAAAAGGATCATCCTCTATTCCAAGCAATCTTGCTCGCTTGAGCAATCCTCTCTCGTGCTCCACCCCGCCATTCATGGGACCTAAGTCCTTAACACCATCCACCCTCCTTCACTGACCACGCTTCCTCTCCATCGGTGCACAAAAAATGCGACCTTTCTCCTTAGACACCACTGACCTGCGCTTCTCATCCCAAGTTTCCACAACCCCCACCAGTTGTTCGACGAAATTCCGAAGTGAGCTTCGCCACACTCAGAACCCATCATTTATACTATGTCAAGTATCTAAACGGAGCTCGTCATCGGGTAGCGTGGGCCTGCAGAGGAAAACCCAGAAGGATCTTTCTCGGATACTGAGGACGGAGTCAGCTATCAAGGAGATCGAGAGGAAGGCCAACTCCAAGAAGTACAACAATTTGTGGCCTAAAGCCGTGTTGGAGGCCCTGGATGAGGCTATTAGAGAAAACCGTTATGAGTCTGCTCTTAAGGTTTGTGAATGATTCGTTCTCTGTTTTTTTTTTTTTCTCTCTGCATTTTGTTTGTACTGGCTTCAGGTGAATTCTTTTCATTGTCTTGTCGTGTGCTAGGGTATTTATTGTTGAGCCACATTAAGTTTATGATCCATTTTGTTCCCGAGGTAGCTTTATCAAGTTGGAGAAGTGAAAGTGAGACTTGAAATACGTATCGAGCTTTGGTATTTGGAGCAGAAGCATATAGAACCGGAGATTCAATCTCTATTTAACATTCATATGTGAATTGTGTACACAAATAGTGAAGACTGTACTGCAAGTAACTATGTATAGCTCCTGATCATTGGTTGTGCGTTCATTCGTGTTAGTTTCCTTTTTCAGTTTACGTAGTTATGACATTACTATAGATTACTCAGAGAGCTGAATGTCTTGAGCTGTCTCATCTAGCAATGGAATGAGAACTTTAGGAAGTAGAGTAACACCATTAACTAGCATCATTACCAGATTGTCAATGTCAGAGCTAGTAATTTGCTGATGCAACTCTATTTCTTGTTTCCATATAGGTAGCCTGTTTAAATCTATTGTAACTCTCAAAGCATTTAATGCCCTTTTTCCAGATATTCGGCCTTCTTCGTAAGCAGCACTGGTATGAGCCAAGATGCCAAACGTACACAAAGCTTCTGATGATGCTTGGCAAGTGCCGGCAGCCTGAGCAGGCAGGTTTGCTTTTCGAGCTTATGCTGGTGGAAGGGCTTAAACCTACTCTCGATGTTTATACGGCTCTAGTCAGTGCTTATGGTCATAGTGGCCGAATTGACGAGGCATTATCTACTCTAGAAGCAATGAAGTCTGTCTCAGATTGTAAACCCGACGTGTACACGTACTCTATTCTCGTGAATTGTTGCATGAAGTTCCGTCAGTTCGATCTGATTGAACAAATACTTTCTGAGATGTCATATCTTGGAATAAGTTGCAGCATCGTCACATACAATACTATGGTCGATGGATATGGCAAGGCTGAAATGTTTGAACAGATGGAGAAGTCATTGACAGACATGATTGACAGTGGATCCTGTCTTCCTGATGTTTTTACTCTTAATTCGGTCGTGGGGGCTTATGGAAAGAGCGGACAGATTGATAAGATGGAGAAGTGGTATGAGGAATTTCAACTTATGGGTATAAGGCCTGATATTATTACATTCAATACCCTGATTGGATCATATGGGAAGGCAGGGCTCTATGAGAAGATGAGTTCTGTTTTTTATTATATGGAGAAAAGGTTCTGTTCCCCTACAACTACAACCTATAATGCAATAATTGATATCTATGGAAAAGCTGGCGATGTGGAAAAGATGGAAGAATACTTCAAGAAAATGAAGCATCGAGGAATGAAGCCTACCCCTGTCACGTACTGCTCTCTGGTTAGTGCATACAGTAAATCTGGACTGATCATGAAGGTGGACTCGATCTTGAGGCAAGTCGATAATTCTGATGTGGTGCTGGATACTCCTTTTTTCAACTGCATCATTAGTGCATATGGTCAGGCTGGCGACATTGAAAAGATGAGGGAATTGTTCTTGTTGATGAAAGAGAGAAATTGCTCACCTGATACTATCACCTATGCTACCATGATCCAAACATACAATGCCCTAGGCATGACTGAGGTTGCTGAAGATTTGGAGAACAACATAATAAGAACCAAGGACCATCCAGGTATCTTGATGTCAAGTAGCTTTGTAACCGTCTATCTATTTGTAAATTTGTACTCTTCCTTCATGTTCATTGCAAAACCTCATGTAATGTTCAATTTCTTGCACTGGATGGGAAGTTGTCACACTTCTCACTCTAGGGTATCAGAGAGGTTGTTTTGTATACACCCCATTAGTCAATGTAATATGCTCCAACCTTGCATGCTTACTCCATATCTCCTGCTCAGTGTAGTGATTTTAACTGATAACCAGCAAAATACTGATGCTAATAGCAAAAATACTGATAATCTGGATCAAGCAAACAAAGTGGCTTTGATACGTTATTCACAACAATCGGTCAGTCACAGAATCATTATACTATGTAGGACCTCACTCATTAGAGTCCAAGAATGAAACTATGCTGATGAATCAGGATTTACAGCATGAGATTCTTAAGTTTCATGTGATGTTATCTGGGGTATATAACGGCAAAAGGATGCTTTTAACTAAACATCCTTAAGATTTTATTGTCTCTCCTGAGTGTGCTGCTATTTGCGGCAAGCACGTTTGTTCGCTCTCTGCTAATTGCTTTAGTTTCTGACCAGTGAGAGTGAAATTCACTTTATTTATAGCATGCTACTTGAGAGTTGCTTAAATTATATTTGGTTTCTGCTCAGGCTTGAAGTTGATTGGATGCTAGCATTGTTGATGTGGAACGGATCTCAATTGATGGAGGACTAGAATGTTCAAGATTCTCAAAGCATAATTCGCTGATTACTTGGTTCTGAGATTATCTGTAATGTTTGTTATACCTTTTCTGTTTTGGAGATTATACTATCACAGAGTATATAACAATCAGAATTTTATCAAGTTCCAAAATTACAAGTCTCCCAATGCAGGATTGTCTTTAGATTAGCTTCAGTGTCCATGAAGTCCAAGCTCACCTCAACCCCATCCGGGCCACCAACCTGGGGATGTCAGTTGGCTCAGCAAGATTGCAAGAAAGTTTCATCTGGAGGAGTTAAGATAATTTATAAGGTGCAAACTGTTACTAAGACAGCTTCGCTAGATTTTTCGGAGGCCTTGAAATGCTGCTGGGTTTGTTGGGTACAATTTGGTAAAGTTACTTCTTGTGGATATTCTATTTTTTGTTCTATCATGGGGACCTCAGCACTGAATTTCCATTTTTCAAAATAAGAACACCAAAGAGCTGTTGTCATGTGTATGAAGTTTACCGAAGTTCTGGTTCCCCAAAGAACTTTGACAGAATAGATAGCAATTAACAAGAATGCCAACTTTCCACAAGGGCCAAAAGATTTGTCCTTGGAGACCATTCTTCTGGAGTTGGACCATGAAGCAGCGTAGTTTTTCCAGATATTGGGCTAAGCATACATGATCTCCGCTTCATTAGTGAAAAGTTGCCAAGACTAAAGTTTGGGTAATAGAGCTGGAATTCTTGAGGGCCGAATCCAAACCCTGGGCAGCATGCAGATATTTATCAGGCTCTGCTGACTGGCTACTGTTGAAATTCTTTCATTATGTCCACATTCTGCTATATATCTTATTTGCCTTGCTTGTCTTATATTCATATGTACATATAAATATTTACATTCAGAAATCGGGTCAGTAATTGTTACCGATTGATATCTACTCTCACTTCTGTAAATCAACATCTCACCTCTCACTGTGCATGGCCTCGGTTGACATTGTGGGATGATACCAGCACTGTGGAACTCCTGTTTGAAGCAGCTGTTTATTTCCCAGAGGAGAGTTAAAATGCTTTGTGCACTTAATTTCCAGGTTTTTTAATTTGGGCGGGCCTGAAGAATGAGTTTAGGCCTGGCCTCCTTAGCATATCGATGGTCACTCCCCTGTTTTTCAGAGGAAATTTGCTGAATAACATAGTCTAGTCCAGGACCCAAAACAAATAGAGGAACCTTTCCATTTGTCATCCGGATTGTTCTTCATGTTGTGGTCATGTTGCGGTTTGGTCCATCTATTCACGTGCTAGATTAAGTCCATTTTTGCAAGTCCACCCTGGGGGTAAGATATTTGTTAAAATGCATTTGCGAGTTGTGTTAGAGAAGTCTCATAAAAAAAAATTTGTGTGGTGTAGAAGAGTTAATATATTCTAGTTGACCCATAAATCATTGACTTAAGTTTTTGAGTGAAGCTGGGTCTAACATGATATATTGACGGGTTCGAAATCGAGCTCTCTCTTGACAATCTCCTCAACTGAAGGTATCGGGCTTCTGAATCATTCGGGTCTATATCTACCGCCAGACAAGAAAGGGGATTTCCTAGATGAACCTGAATCAAGACGTCTCTCTAAGTGGATGACGTTCATTACAGTATTTTGGGCATTTATCTTATTGTTGAAAATCTAAACTTTACCCCCAAGTTACATAACAACTCAATCTTTCTAGCGAAATTTCCGCCTGAACATAGGAAGCACGATGGAAGTGATTAGAGGCAGGCCAGCTTGCAAATTGTCTGCCTAAAGAGGGAAGACGCAAATGGAAACGCTTTTGTGGATTGGAGACTCTCTTCCTCCAGACTTTAGTATTATTCCCCGATGCCCACCGAAAGTGTGTTCCGTTTTGTAGGACAAGGAACTTGGTATATCTTTGTCTGGTGCGAGACGAATTAACATTTTCGGTCGTAAAGAACCCATGCCATTTGGAAAATTATAGAACAAGAACCCACGCGAGCGAATTCGAAAGATCAAATAACTAGCGACAATGGGATAGATGAATGGCGATTGAATTGTCGTAAATGTTTTGAAAGTCTTCAATTTGTGGAATGTAGAATTAGATTTTGGAATTCTTAAACCACATGTTCCTCTTAAAACATTCGACATCGACTTTGCTTCATCTAAATCTATCCACAAACCCATGATTGTCATACGACAACTGAATAACATGTTATAGTGACCTCAAAATAGTTGAAGCCTAAGTATCCTACGAAAATACGTAGCCGCCAACCCTCACTCAAAAAGACACGCAATGGGCCACGTGTATCCGACGCGGATGCAATGAGGTATCGAAGATGATTTCTTTGTTTTTCTTTTTCGGGTAAATATACTCCAAAAACCCCAACCCCGACATGTGGCAAAGGTCCTTCCCTTTCCTTTTCTTCTAAGACAAAACATTAAAAATGGTGGGTGTCCCTTTAAAACTTCCTTTGCAAAGATGAGAAACTGAAACTGAGAACCATAGAATTCAATGACTTTGCAAGTCATGCTACAGCAAAAGTTGAGGAACTTCGTGGAATTCTAAGAACACGTATGAACGGAATAAAAGAGGGAGGGGGTGACATAACGCTGAAAACGAGAAGAAAAAGGGCGACTTCACCGGGGTCAAATCTCTTTCATTAATGAAAGAGTGAATCTAGATGGAGTTGACCCCCATTTCACTAGTGGCATGACTTGCCGACCCAAAAGAGCGCTGAAAGTTCTGAAATTTGGAAGGGATCAATATCAAGAAGTGACTTGGAAGACAAGGATGTGGGAGACTTCGCCAGCATGTTGAAAAGGAATGAAGAACGAGAGAAAAAGTTAATAGTTTTTTAATCATAGGGAACCAAATTGTCAAGGACCAAGATCAAAGGACATCATTGCGCAGGTTGAAAAGGGCACAGCCCAATTTGACCAGTTCGTCCCACGTCCCCTACCCCAACACTTTCGGGCGTGTAGAAGACGAGGGTCGATTTCCGATTTGGCCCCCCCTCCCCTAAGCTAGTAAGCTCCAGTTTGGTACAATTGCATATTTGCATTGATTACGTTGCTTGACTTGGGACACCGCCCCACGCATCAATCAATTCATGAAATGGGGAGGCTCGGCTTGTGGGATTCCGCACCCGAAAGTGACTGCCCTGTGCGATAACCATACCCAAATAAGAGAAAAAGGAAAGCCATCGATTGGTTGCGACATGCCCCGAGTCGCATGATTAGAGACCAACTAGGTTTTTCAAAATTATATTTGACCGATCGAATGTGTTGAAAGATACGTGTGGATTGTGTTAAAAAGTCTCACATAGAATAACTGATGCGATGTAGAGCAATTAATATATTTTAATTGACTCATAACATATCGACTCAAATTTTTAAGTGAAGATGGGTCAAATCGGGACTTGGGTTGCATGCTCCCGACGAAATGTGCTCTTATCCATGCAGAAACATGATGAGCTCAGCCTATGTCAAGTTTCGTAGTTCCAATTCCCCTTTTTCTTTTTCTTTTATTGCTAAGATAAAGTTGAGCTTATATAGTGACAAATTAAATAAATTTGGCAAAAGAAAAAACAGAGATGATTGATGACCTAGTCATAACCATAAACGCGTGATGAGGGGAGTATCCGAGAAGTGATAATTGTGATTGAACTTGAGATGGCCTCATTCGTGTGGACATTGCCGTATACATGCACACAAATTGATTGATGCGTTTCACATTTGCATCAATGGATCGATCTAGAAGTCATCACCACATGCTTGCATTGGATCCTTATCTCTCCACTCCTTGTGATGTACCAAATGAAACTACTTGGCAATTGGCATTGTGCTTTCTCCATTATGTTGTTCTTCTACATCACCGATTCATAGTCGCGATTTCCCTGTACCATTCGTGCCGCGGAAGTACACGAATTTCGGGATTTTCACCAAGTTTGCAAATTGAGAATATTCAATTTTCTCTCATCACGATCGAATACGTAGATAGAAACCCCATCGTCTCTCGCGTGGAATTGTTCGACACATATTCCATGACTCATCCCAACCTCAATGGCAACTTGGAGAACTTAATTAGAGACCACCACTATGCCTCCTCTTCAATGCATCTCCTTTTCTTTCTCCAATAGCATCTCATTACATAGTGGTGTCCTTTGAATATGGTACCTTGGGAATATTTGATGTTACATTAGCTCAAAAAGTTTTGGAGAGACTAACGTTTGTGGTTGGAACATATGGAAAAGCGGAGGAGAGAATTTTCGTCAACTTCAGGCAAGTAATTTGGTTCTTCTCCATTGCCAAATTTGAGCCTGAACATTCCTGGAGATAAGAAGGGCATGTTCTTCGGATGCCCAACTGATGCAGGAATCAAAACAACACCCACTTATTGCCTCCTAGTACCCAATTCAATATCATCAATACTCACTCGTTTGGAATCTTAAGAGTGGTATTCGGCTACATGATTACATGATTATGCTTTGAGAATCAATCCGACACTCGAAGATATGAAGTGTCTGCTCGAGAAAGTTTTTCCGCGGTGGTTTCAGTTGTGAAGACTCCATCCCGCTCGAATTTTAATTGCCGTGACCTCAAAATATGTATCGCCGTGACCTCAAAATATGTATCGCCAAACACGCAAGTCACATCATTTCGCAGTACAACCGCATCATGCCACAGTTCTAGTTAAACCACAGTGACATCGAACGGGCTTGAATCCCACGCTACCGGTATGTTTTCTACGGTCTAAGTGGTGAAAAGAAAAATTAGAACGGAACTTGTATAGGTCCGAGCTAAGCCATGAGGCACACCACTCAAATTCGTCTAACATTCTTGAATACCTAGCTTTCTCCACTCAATGCTGAATTGTTGATGCATCACTGTCGTCACCATCTGATAATGTTGTTGTCCATCAAACAGCATGTCAATAGACAACCGAGAAGATAGCACTCTAAGACGAGAATAAATACTACTACCGTAGAATTACAATGGCGCACACGAACATATGGACAAGAATGCAAGTGCAAGGAGGACAAAACAGGTCATTATTGAAGACGACCCAGGTTTTGGGATTGCTTGCTCCCCATCGCCATCCAGAGATCTTCGCTTATACCTGTCAAGAAAAATTAATCTTGTCTCGACATGTCTGGGCTCGGGACCCGGGACCGGGGAGGAGTCTGTTTCCTAGTCATTTTCGGGGTCATAGTACCTTCGCTCTCGATAGTGATCTCACTTGGGACCTTTGATTTAGACGAGGAAAAGTTAATTGAGATTAGTGCTGTGTTATGCGACTGGTTGAGTCTGATTTGGATGATTAGCCTTATCTTTGGCCCCGTTTAGTTCAGCTTTGGGAAGGGGCTTTCGGCCTCGAAAGCCCCTTCCCAAAATGCTGAACCGTTTGGTTCGGCTTTCCGGACTCGGAAAGCCGAAAGCCAGAATTTGGAATGCCATTGGAATGCTGAAGCCTATTTTTTCTTCCCAAATTGCCC